TGTTCTGCATTCCTTTTTCCCTCCCTTCCACCTGCCACCCCCCCCAGTTCCATTCTCATCATTAGGAACTAGGGCCGCCATGAACTGGGCATTTACCTTAACCTTCCCAGTGGATACTGCCAAGGAGACATCTTTCCTATTTTATAAATGGAGCAAAACCAGCCTGGAAATATACTGGGTGCTGCTGCTGCTGATAAAACAAGACCAAGAAACACATTTTTTTTTAAAGGGGGATGAATATGGGGCCAATTTGTGGTAACAAAATAGAAAGGAATCCAAATCATAGTTGAAGGGTGAGATGTCTCTAGACCCACAGCCCCAGTGTTTTCTGAATCGCTCCGCCGTTGGAGGGTGTGAAAGAGCTAGAGAGGGGCAGGGGCTGCACAGAGGACGGGGAAGACCCCGCCCCCTCTCCCACGCTCCGCCCCCTCTCCCACGCTCCGCCTCCCTGAGGCCTCCCTCTCCTGCTTTTGCCTGGTAGCAAACAGAGTCAGGTTGCATTTTACCGGGGGAGTGGGAGTCTTCATTCATTGGCAAGCGTATGAGATTGACAAGAAAGTAGGAAAATTGGCACACCTGGGTTCACAATGAAAGCTGAACATTTTTTCCTTAAGAAGAAGGAGATACTTGAGCTCCTCATAAGAATAAATCGTATTCTGTATTATCTGTGTTGTCATCTCTGAAATCTGGGATAAAGGGCGGCAAACATAGTTGCGTACTGACACAGACCAGCTCTGTTCACAGGAGGGCGGGCGGGCAGGCAGCGGCCAGCAGCCTGTGCTGCTGCTCTCGGTCTCTTTCACTTGTCAACAGCAGTTTCCAGCTGCAACTAAAGACGTCCGCTCGGGGACCTCGGCGCGCGCCCGGGCGAGCCTTGGTCTGTGCAAGGCTGCCACCGTGTGGCCGCTGCGGGGACGTCCTCGGGACGTCCACAGGTGGACCTTGAGTTTGATTCCCAATCTTGGCTACTGCGAATAGCACTGCCAATAAACAGAGGAGTGCAGGCAGCTTTCCATAGTCTGAGTTCTCTTCTTTTGGATATAAACCCAGCAGTGGGTTCAGTGCTGGGTCTTTACGGTAGTTCTAGTTTCAGTTCTCCACAGTGGTTGCACTAATTTACTTACCCACCAGTTCCCCTTCCTCCACATCCTCACCAGCATTTGTTAACTGCCTTTTTGATAAAGCTGTTTCAACTGGAGTGAAACGCCATCTCATTGTAGTTTTGATTTGCACTTCTCTTGGCTAATGATGTTGAGCATATTTTCATATACTTATTGGCCATTTGTATTCAGACATCTAACTTTTAAACTTCCAGCTGCTAATCATTTTTTCCCTAAAAAGAGAAGTGAATCAAATCTGAAGATGTTCCATTGTTTCCTGAAGAAGATAGGGATTTTTTAAATTGTCTCATAACAAACAAATACACACCCACACAAGAAAAAAACACGATTAAACTCCCATGAGGGGAGAAGGGGCATTGGTGCCCTCTTACCTAAAGGCACGATGTAAGGGTGTACGGCACACCTCCTGAGGGAAGGGCAAAAGCTACAACTTGGACTTTACCTCATGAATGCAAACAATGTAACCTAATCGTCCGTATCCTCATATTAATCTGAAATTAAAATTTTTTAATTAAAATTTTCTCATAATCAGTTGGCCCCTTGAGATTTCTGCAAGTAGCCAACCAGCTGGATTTATTCCTTCATCCTGAAGGGTATGTTCCCTAAGATTTCTTGGAACAAAATACTCAATGCTTAGATACCCTTATAACCTACTTCCTGAAAGCAAACCTGTTTGGAGCTCAGTGTAGAGCTGTGAGTATCCATTGGTGCTGCCAGACCCTGAGCCCAGAATGCAAGCTTCCAAATGACTGTGGGTTCCCAATGTCACTCGTCCAACCTGAGCCCACTCATGAGTGTGGGGCAGAGCAGCTCTTAAGAAAATGTGCCCCCTAGGGTGGCGCCTGTGGCTCAAGGAGTAAGGTGTCGGCCCCATATGCCAGAGGTAGTGGGTTCAAATCCAGCCCTGACCAAAAAAAAAAAAAAAAAAGGTGCTCCCTGCAGGGGCTGAGACTCTGGTCACCGCATGCATAGGACATGAGATCCATGGACAGCCAACAGCCTTCCTCTAAGGAATGACTTCTTTGTAGCTCTTCCACATTCATTTTGGAATCAAATTATCTTTCTCTCTAGTAACTTTCTTTAGATGGGAATGAAAGGACACGCATTTAGAAAACACAATCATTGCTACTGCAGCACTGAAGGCTCAAGCAACCAAAAGGAAAATAAATTACACTGTCAAAATTAAAAACTTGTGTATTTTAAATGACATCAAGAAAGTGAAAAGACTACCCCCAGAATGGGAGAAAATATTTGTAAATCCTATATCCCATCATACATTATTATCCAGAATAGAATACAAATGGCTGGTAAGAATATGAAAAGATGTCCAACATCATTAGTCAGTAGGAAAATTCAAGTCAACACCACCACGAGGTACCTGCTAGGATGGTGTATCAAACAGATGGACAGTGACAAGTATTGGTTGAGAAGTGGCAGAAATGGAAACTTCATAATGGCTGGTGGAAATGGAATATGGTACAGTCACTTTGAAATATAGTTTGTCAATTCCTCAAAATGTTAAATGCAGGCTTGGCGTCCATGCTCAGTGGTTATGGCGCTGGCCACATACACTGAGGCCGGTGGGTTCAAAACCAGCCCAGGCCAGCTAAACCAACGACAACTGCAACAAAAAAATAGCTGGGCATTGTGGCAGACACCTGTAGTCCCAGCTACTTGGGAGGCTGAGGCCAGAGAATCCCTTAAGCCCAAGAGTTTGAGGTTGTTGTGAGCTGTGACACCACAGCACTCTACTGAGGGCAGTATAGTGAAACTGTCTCACCCCCCCAAAAAAAACTAAAATCAATCCCAACAACTGATAAATGCCTAAATAAAATTCTGTACATCTATCCCATGGACTATTATTCAGCAATACAAGGAATAAGTATGTGGGTCACTACGAAAGTTTTGAGACAGACTGTGTTGTGGTAGTCCATTGTTTCACTTCTAAGAAACACGGTAGACAGTATCCTCTCTGCGTCACCCGTGCTTGGCTTATCGGTGCTGCTGTGAAGGCTTCATTTCTGCTTTGGTCCTAGCAGATTTTACATTTCTTAATTTTTGTGTGTCTCAAAAATGACCATGTACTGATACGCGCGGCAACACAATGAACCTCAGCACACTCAGTATGGAAGAAGACAGCTGCGAGGACCCCATGTGGCATGAGTCCACTTCTGTGGCACGTCCAGAGGACGCACAGCCACAGAGGGAGAATGCAGGGGCTGCTGAGGGTGGGAGAGAGGGGGCCCGGGAAGGCTGCTAATGTGCACAGAGTTTCTCTGGGGGGTACTGATGGTGGTGGCGATTGCGCAACTCTCTAAGTATGCTAAAAATCGTTGAATTATGTACTGTAAATGAGTGAACTTCAACTTAACTTTTGTAAATTATAGCTCAATAGAGGTGTTAAAAAACAAGCAGCAGAAACACAAAGTGAATAATAAACAAAAATTATTTAATAGAAACGACACCACATGCAAACACAGCCTTACGGGCGTCCCCAAACACTACAAGGAAGGGACCCTCGCACATGGCCCCAGACCCAACACAGACCGTGCCACGCTGGGGAGTGCAGAGTATCCCCTTCTAACTCTGCAAGGTCAGCTTCCACATCCTTAAATGATGACCTCAGTGCATCAGTTTTTCTTTGTTTAGAGGACTCTTTTTTGAATAGCACTTCGTCAAATCCCTGGGACACTTTTTCACAAACACCAACCATTCCATCTCCAAGAGCACAATGTCCCCAAGTGTTAAAGCTTATGTGCGACATCACACAGGGGGGCCCTTTTGGCTGCAGACCTGACTCTGCTTTTATAGTCTGTGCCTCCTTCACAGACAACCTCCATGTAAGGGGCAGGGGGACGTCAAGATATCTCTGCATGGAGTTCTAAACTCTATTTCTATTCAACTTAACCTTTTTGTAATAGGTATGAGAGTGAAAAAACTCCAGTAGAACACTCCAGAAGGAACCCCTACTTGAAGCCAGTAACCACACCTCTCTTATACTCCCAGTGCCTAGCACAGAGCTTATTCCTGAGAAAACACACTGAGAAATCGGCGTCTGCTTTACAACAGGATGGACGGATAGATAGAAGGATGGATGAATGGACAGATAGATGGACGGATAGATGGATGGACAGGCAGACGTATGTATGGATAGACGTGGCTGAAGCTCCCCTGGAAAAGGAATGCGCCTCCCTGGGAACCTCTTTGGTGCCTGTGTCCTCATAGTTACACCAGGGCTGGTACACACAACCCTGAAAAGGGTTTCTGCAGCCTGCACCAGGCGGGCGTGGGCCTCCCTGAGCTTCCTCACACTTACATAAGGAAAGAGGCATGTTCAGGAAAACATTCATGTGGTTCCAGCACAGGGGCACCAATTTATTCCAAGGAATAGAAACCCTACTGAGCTTAATGAATACGTTTCTAAAATCTTCTGAACTGCCAACAATTAGCTTGGGAAAATAATTCCTAAACCCAGTGCTTCATGCTAAACAAAGAATATTTATTGTCAGGTATTCTAGAACTGAGCCCACTCCAGAGGCCTGAGGTAAGTGGGGACAATAGGGTCACTGTCTCCTCCATTGAAGATGACAGGGAAGGCCTGGCAAGGACAGGAGGCCAGTCTCTGGCCACATAAGCTCTCAGACTAGGCCTCTGCACCAGGCCCAGACAGGCTTCTGGAAGACTCAGGAGCCGGGCCGGGGGAGCTTCCGCCAGGGATCCCTGTCCAGCCCCGCCTCCTCCGCTGTCCTCTTGGCTTCCTGCACCTGCAGCTCAGCCCGGGAGGCGCTCTTGGGCAGCCCAGCTTCTTCCTCTTCCACTCCAAGATCTTGACCCTTATTTGTGCTTTCCAGTTCTTCCCCACAGGTCCTCTCCTGAAGTCAGAAAAGAATACACAGGCCTTCCAAGTGAACACTGTAACATAACGGGTCAGCCCGGACCTTCCGGGACTGGCATTCAGGACCTGCAGGAGTCCTGGCCTGGCCATGCTGAGATTCAGAACAGATAAGCCAGGTTCAAACACCCCTGGCCAGCCACATGGAAACCACCTTTTGAACCTAAGAGCATGTATTTACTGAACAGAACTGAAGGACAGCTCAGCAGCTTGGGGACACTCAAGGAAAAACAGGGCAAGGAAGCACCAGTTTAAAAGTTGGGGCCCTGTGCTCTGATGTGCCGACTTCCCCAGGTACACACCCATGGCATTCACAGCACACCGGACACCCCTGCTTCCTCTGAAAAGCCTTCAAGGCTTGAAAGGAGAGTTGGGCACTGGCAGAAGAAGCCAAGTACACACTCTCTGTTCAGTGCCTGGGTGGATCCCAAGTTCGCCCACCTTTCCATGGTGAACCAAACGAAATGAGAGCGCTCATCTGCCAGATGGCCAGAGCTAGTATCAGACAGGAAGCAGCTTTCTAAGATGATCCACCAGTTACTGGGCTATTTTATGCCTCTGATATTAAATCTTCTATCCCAAAACAATTTCTTTTCTAAACTAAGTGGTATTCCCCCAAGATGCACAATTGTAAGTTTTGGAATTTAAAATAATTATCAAATCTTTAGAGACTCGACAGCAAAGACCCTTCCATACCAGAAAACTGTCACTATGCATTGTTACAATTACCCTGTGTGAGCAAGTGCCTGGCTTGCCTTTGGGAAAACTTAAAATCTTACGAAGGACTGAATGGCAACAATCCATGAAGAAATATTCAGCAACCCTCTTCCCCAGGACCCTACTCTACAGTCCCCCAAATTATACGGAAACCTAGTACCATATTCCACTCTCTTGCGACTTGGGCTTGTGGGGTGAGGGAGGAGAAAAGACAAATTAGTCTTGCTTTTGTTCTGCTTGAAAGACACTTGTCCACAGCAGAATTTAAAATTCAGATTTTTCAGTATTTCCTTAATGATGCGTGGTCACAGCCAATTCCCATGTGTTCCCTGTTTCGTTCTGGTTGTCAGGCTTAGAGAAGAGAACCATGGAAAGTCCAATTACAAAGGCCTCTCCTCACATCTCCCTTTCTCCCTCCCTGCATTGCCACTTTCTTTTTTTTTTTTTTGAGACAGAGCTTCAAGCTGTCCCCCTGGGTAGAGTGCTGTGGCATCACAGCTCACAGCAACCTCCAACTCCTGGGCTCAAGCGAGTCTCCTGCCTCCGCCTCCCAAGTAGCTGGGACCACAGGCGCCCGCCACAACGCCCGGCTATTTTTTGGTTGCAGCCGTCATTGTTGTTTGGCGGGTCCGGGCTGGGGATTGGAACCCGCTACCTTAGGTGTACGTGGCTGGCGCCTTAGCCAGTTGAGCTATAGGCGCCGAGCCAGCATTGCCACTTTCAATGTAAATCGGCAGCCCACTGCCACCCAGACACCCACAGCCGCATTGGCTAGGAGCTGCCGTACAGGTTCAGATCTTGTCTTCACTGAGCAAGGACAATATGGTTACTAAGAAAACAAGAAGCTTACAAATGACACATCACCACCGTACCTTGCTGCCTTCACCATTAGTGGACTGTCTGGGTCCATCGCCCTGAGAAGTCCGTCCATGACCGTTCACGCCCACCTCCTCCTCCTTGGAATTTCCTGGGTGTGCTGCCCTCCCCCAAAGCAAGAGAACAGGATCAGTAAATGAGAGTGACACCCAAGGGGTTAGACAAGCATCAGGTTAATAACACATTGGGAACCCTTCCAAGCATACTGATGGCCACCACCCAATTCTATTCTCTCAACTTTCACTGCAACGCTTATTTGGTTTTTTTCTTTTTTTCTTTGCAGTTTTTGGCCAGGGCTGGGTTTGAACCCGCCACCCCTGGTATATGGGGCCGGTGCCCTACTCCTTGAGCGACAGGTGCCACCCTCACTATAACACTTGTTACAGTGCTCTCTCCAGGGGACAGGACACCTGCCAGGTGCCAGGAGATACCAAGTGGGTGTCTGCTCAAGTATTTCTGAGCTGGAATTGTGACCTGTATGTCTAACAATCCAGGCGCTCAGTGGAGTGGGGTTTCCAGTTTGATTCCTATGTCTTCCTTTGCTTGCTGGTATTTTTACTCAAAAGACAAGCCATGATGTTAATTCAGCCTCCTATCCCCCTAGCAAATCACTACCAACTTAGAAAGAAATGAATTTCTTGTCCTACTACGTGTCTTCTCACCCCACACTCCCAAATCTGTCTCTGTGATGGAGGGGGTGGGGGGAGGGGCTGTTCAGAACCCCAAGAAAAAAATATGTGGTTTTACATGTGAGCTGAAAATACATATGTAATACATTTTGTTTACTGAGGAACAAATGTATTATTTAGTTGTTATCTATGTAAGTAAATTTTTAAGTTTATTTACAGAACTGTATAAATTAGCAAAATTTGGCTTGACAAAATTTAATTGCAAGCACTTAAAATTACCAGCATACCTTAGTTATCTTGGCTATGTAGAATTTTTATATCATGTACATAGTTCTTAAATGAGTTCAGAAGCTCAGTCAGCTTCTTCACTGCTAAATCCCTAACACCTAGGATTGTGCCCGGTGCATGTGTGGGTGCTCCACTAACAGTTATCAAATGAAGGAAGAATGAGTGGCTGAATGAATGAAGGAGATAACTGATTACATCAATTTTTCACCTTCCCTGATGTTTTTGTTATGCACTAAATCACATTAACAGCTATCAAATGTTTACTTGTATTTTACCCTAACCAATTAAGATTCAGTAAATTTGTTAAAATGAATCCACTCATTTGGAAGTGCAAATTTAAGCACCTGAGAACCAATCACACAGGTTACCATGTTTAATAAATCACCACCCAGGGCGGCGCCTGGGGCTCAAAGGAGTAGGGTGCCAGCGTCATATGCTGGAGGTGGTGAGTTCAAACCCAGCCCCACCCCCCCCAAAACCTGCAAAAAAAAAAAAAAAAAAAAATCACCACCCTGAGCTGCAGTCTAACAAAATGGCCACTAGAGGGAGCCACAAAACCCATCAAAGAGCAGCATTAGCTGGGGAAAAATAAGTCCAGTGTGGTAGTTTCAGTCCTCAGCACATCCCAGCATAAACTGCTCATGCCTATAATCCTAGCACTCTGGGAGACCAAGGCGGGTGGATGCCTTAGCTCAGGAGTTGGAGACAAGCCTGAGCAAGAGTAAGACCCCATCTCTAAAAATAGCCAGGCATTGTGGCAGGCACCAATATAGTCCCAGCTAACCCTGAGTCTGAGGCAAGGAGATCCCTTGTGCCCAAGAGTTTGAGGTCACTGTGAGCTAAGATGATGCCACGCAGTCTACCCGGGGTGACAGGGAAAGACTGTCTCCAAAAGAAAGAAAATAACTGCTATGGCTGCTGCCACAGGGCAGCCACTCTTCATTCATTCAGCCACTCATTCTGTATCATGTACAATTCACCAGAAGAAGCTGGAACAAAGTTAGAACTGGAGCTCGGTAGGCATCAGACTTTAATCTCAAAATTTTCACCTCTTTATGTACAATCACTCCAGTTTAAAAAAAATTAAATGTTAATGGAATAAAAGTTTGGTTTTTTTTTTAATCATCCCTGTGGATGACAATTAAATCTATTAAAAGGTGCTGGCTTAGGCGGCACAATTACTAAAACTGGAATGATACAGAGATTAGCATGGCCCCTGTGCAAGGATGACACACAAATCGTGAAGTGTTCATTTAAAAAAAAATCCATTAAAAATTCATCTGGAGAAAGCAAAACTATGATCTATAGATTGAAAAAAAATAAATTTTTTAAGCAATGCTCAATTATTTCCTGCCTCTAGCAACATTTTGTAAAAGACCATTTCACTGTTGACATAATCAATTTCATTGTTTTTGGTAAAGAAACTTAAAGCATGTGAAGGCTGCTTGGGAAAACACATCAGCTGGAATTAGAATCCTATTGGTCAAGTTTCAAAGGCTTTGTATGTAACTGAGTGTAGGAAGAAAGAAATGTCCCACAAACTCCTTCTCTCAAAAAGTATGAATAATCTGTAAATGTTTTCAGGGCAATGATAAGACACAGATGTTATCAGCAGCCAGAATCAGGCAAACTTTCCAAGACCCAGTCCACCCATCAGGTTGCTTCAAAAATAGATTTTAAAACATTTGTAAAGAGTACAATTTAATTTCCCTTTGAAATGTTGTAAATATATATATATATATATATATTTTTTTTTTTTTGCAGTTTTTGGCCAGGGCTAGGTTTTAACCTGCCACCTCTGGCATATGGGGCCGGCACCCTACTCCTTGTTTTTTATGCCTTATTTAGAGAAAGCAATTGGTTCCACTGGGCTTCTGGCTTACAGTTCTATTCCAATGGCACATAAAATTATAGGAAGCCTCCAAAATAACAGTGAGAATTAGAGGGACAAGGGAAAGAACTTGAAAAGCAGAACAAGTTAAGAAAGCAACTCTGAATAAAAACTGAGATCCAATTAAGTAGCCTAGTTAGTTCCACAGAAGATTCCAGAATCAGCACTGTTTGGTAACTCGTGGGAAGTTCTAATCCACTTACACTTGCTGACTTCTGTGAAGGGAGAAACAGGCTAGAAACTGCCCAGCATCTGGGCTAATCCAGGAGTATACTTTGAAGCCCCCACTCACCAATTTGGAAAAAATCTGGGATGTCAGCACTAACTGTCATAATGGTTGCAAGATGAAGCTGGTTGGCTAAAAATCTTCCTAAATGAATTAAAATTCTGACTTTGGGCCCTCAGGGAGACAGAAGGTGTGGGTAAAACTGGAAACTAGCCATAATTTTGCACAGGGACTAAAAAGACCAGAGCTTAGAATTACTTCTCATAAAATACAGCATTTTAGTAATCTAATTATATCCTAACTATAATGATGACCCTTTTTCCTTCAAGGGACTCAAGCATGCTTCTGGAACATTCTCTGTGCAAGCTCCCTCATTTGCTGTTTTAAAGTGAGAGCTGGTGAAATCTCAGAGTGAATTAAAGTGACAGGTTTGGCATCTGACTCCCAGCTCAGTTTCCTCTGACCAGACCACACCGACTCTCAGCTCTTGAAACAACCGGGGCTGGAATTCTCTGAGAGGAAGCCATCTTTCTAATTAGGGGGAAACCTCTTCCCCTGTGTGATTTCCACTCCGATAAGCAATCCATTTGCTGTTCCCACTCCCAGCCAAGAAAATGCAACATCCAAGCACAACGGCCTTGTGTGGGCACCTGCAGCCCTGTCTGTGAAGCCCAGCCATAAACCCACATGGTGGTCAGCGCAGTACTGGGGATCTGCACTGGCTTCCCTTCCTAACACAACGCCACAGGGCAAGTCACTTAACTGCCTCATTAGGATCAGAGTTGCAGCCCCTCCAGGGCCCCTCCTTCCCTGGTGCCTAGTCACCCCATTAATATCTGTAAAGATCCATTAAGCCCTCTAGCAGAAAGGCTCCATAAAAGCAAAACCGAACACCATTATCATCAATAAACTCCAAGGAACTCTAGCCTGTCACCTCCTAAGGTAAATCAGTCACCACATGGGGAGAAGGCCTGGCACCTCCACTGCCCATCAGCGCCCTAACGAGCCACATACAGCTGCAGAGATGCCATTCGATGCTGACAGGACCTCCCGGTCTAGGAGGGATGACAAGCCACAGCTTTAATTTGGACAGTTAATTTAAACTGTTAGAACCTCCCGAGTCTACCACCTCGCAGAACCTGCAGCTTGGAGGTGGCCTGGCCTGGCCTGGCCTGGCCTGACCTTTATTGCTGAACTGAGGAGGGCCCAAGAACATAGTCAAGAAGCAGCTCAGAAATCCAGACCCAAGCCTGGCTGCAATCCCCTCTGGCTATCTTTTTTTTTTTTCTTTTGAGACAGAGCCTCAAGCTGTCACCCTGGGTAAAGTGCTATGGCATCACAGCTCACAGCAACCTCCAACTCCTGGGCTCAAAGGATTCTCCTGCCTCTGCCTCCCAAGTAGTTGGGACTACAGGTACCCGCCAGGACGCCCAGCTATTTTTTGGTTGCAGCCGTCCTTGTTGTTTGGCAGGTCCGGGCTGGATTCGAATCTGCCAGCTCAGGTGTATGTAGCTGGCGCCTTAGCCACTTGAGCCACGGATGCTGCCAAGCCACGCCCTCCCCCCCTCCCTAGCTATTTATTCATTTTTGAGACAGAGCCTCAAGCGGTCACCCTGGGTAGAGTGCTATGGTATCACAACTCACAGCACCTCCAACTCCTGGGCTTAAGCAATTCTCTTGCCTCAGCCTCCCAAGTAGGTGGGACTACAGGCATCCACCACAATGCCTGGCTATTTTTTGATTGCAGCCATCATTGTTATTTGGTGAGCCAGGTGTATATGGCTGGTGCCTCAGCCACTTGAGCCACAGGCGCCAAGCCCCACTCTGGCTATTTAAAGGACATCCCACCCCTGCCTCCCCTTGACACGTGCCACTTAAGGCCCTGTCCTCCCACCTTGAAAACACCCTCTGTTAGAAGCCCAGCTGGCACACTCACAGGGCTACTGTCTGGATTAACCAAAAACTGAAGACAGTGAGTGTGTCTATTGACAGAGAAATAAACAACAACACATTCGTGTGACACCATATCATGCTGCCATTAAGGAGGACAAAAGGGGGCTGGGCATGGTGGCTCACCCCTATTATCCCAGCATTCTGGGAGGCCGAGGTGGGTGGATCACCTGAGCTCAAGAGATCAGCCTGAGCAAGAGCCAGACCCTGTCTCTAAAAATAGAGGGGCATTGTGGAGGGTACTTGGGAGGCTGAGGTAAGAGGATCACTTGAACCCAAGAGTTTGAGGCTGCTGTGAGCTATGACACCATAGCACTGTACCCAGGGTGAGAAAGTGAAATTCTGTCCCGAAAAAGAAGGGCAAAGGGACAAGGCAGTGTCAGCAGAATCTTGTCTATGTAGGGCTGCCACTTAGCCAACGGGGAAGGATGAGAGGCCTTCCTGTCGTGGTGAACCAAGCGCACATATAACACCCCCAGCAGGTCTCACCCTTTTCTGAAATGGCACCTATGTGGGGCTCACAGGATCACTGTGACCTGCGCCAGTTACTGATACTGCTGGAGATAACTAGCCAAAGGGCACCGGTTTCAGTTCCACTCACAGTCTGGAAGTCCCGCCTGCAGAAGCTGAACCTTGAGCCAGATGTTGCGGCGCTGACCCCAGGCCCCGGGGGGCTCCACCTCCCACAGGCGCCCTCGCTCCTCAGGCCAGGCTCCCAGGAACTGCCTGCAGACTGAGAGGAAGGAGGCAGTGTGAGTCAGGCAGGCCCTACCCAGCTCTGGGCCACACGAGGCCAGCACTCTGGTGGCCCCAAACACGGCCACTCTGGTACTTCCACATAGCCAGCCCCCTGCCCAGCCCCCTGCCCGGCTCCCTGCCCGGCTCCCTGCCCGGCACCCTGCGGCACTCAGACCCACGTTTCCATCAGCCCACACAGATGCATCCTGCTCACCCACCTGTCTGTGTGCCCATCTCCAGCGTCCCAGCCATGTACGTCTGCGCTGAGGGGCAGAGTACCACAGCCTGGGCAGTTTAAACAACGGAAATTTATTCCTCACAGTTCTACAGACCAAAAGTCCAAGATCAAAATATCTCAGGCTGGTTTTTCCTGATGCCTCTCTCTCCTGGGCTTGTGAATGGCCATCTTTTCCCAGCGTCTCCCCACGGCTGTTTCTGTGTGTGCATCCCTGGCGTGTGTGACTCTCTCTCCTTTTAAGGACATGAGTCATACTGGATTCGGGGATCACCCCTGTAACTGCATTTAAGCTTGATTATCTTTTTTAAAGGCCTTATCTCCAGGCTAGGTGCGGGGGCTCACACCTCTAACCCTAGCGTGCTGAGAGGCTGAGGCAGGTGCATTGCTTGAGTTCATGAATTTGAGACCACCCTGAGCAAGAGCAAGATCCCCCCATCTCTACCTGTAGTTTCAGCTACTCAAGAGGCTGGGGCATGCGGATCACTTGAACCCAGGTTCGAAGTTGCTGTGAGTTATGATGCCACGGTACTCTACCCCAGATGACAGAGTGAGATTCTGTCTCATAAATAAACATTAAAAAAGGAATGACTTTCTATCCATTTCAAATTTTAAATTACAAGAAAGAAAAGTTAAAGGCTCTATCTCCAGATGCAGTCACATTGAGGGCTTTAACAAATGAATCTGGGGGGACGTAATCCAATCCATAGCACCACTGTGGGGCCCCAGGCAAGAAGACAAAGAGAAACCTACAGACACATTGCAAGTCGGTTCCAGACCCCTGCAATGAAGCACAAACCACCACAAAGTGAGTCACACAATTGTTTGCATTTCTGCACATAAAAGTTATGTCTATACTACACTACAATCAATAACAGCATTTCTTCTAAAAAATGTGCATACATTAATTTTAAAAATTCTGACAACCATCTGAGCCTTCAGCCAGCCATAATCTTTTTGCTCAAGAGGGCAATGTTCAAGGTTGGTGGCTGTTGACTGACCAGCATGGTTGCTGACAGTTTGGGGTGACTGTGCAATTTCTTAAAATAAGACAAAATGAAGTTTGTTGCACCAACTGACTCTTCCTTTCGCAAAAGACTTCAGCAGCCTGTGATGCTGTTTCATGGGATCTGACCCACAATAGAACTTCTTCAACCCTGCTGCTGCTGCTTTATCTACTTAATCCTTTGTTGTCATTTCAAGAACGTTCACTGTGATTTTCTTCTCAGCCACGTAAAAGATGTGTGTCTAGTCCATGTCGACAGCAGAACCTTAGAAGAGACAAAGCTGGGCATGAAAGCACAGAGGGATTGGTGATGAAGGCCAGAGCTCGCCCTGGTCTTGCTCAGCTGAAGAAGTACAGAGGTTTTTTTCTGATGATTTAATCGAGATTTGGTAACTGAAGAGTTCTTGCTCATCTAGTTCTTGATCTGGCTCCCTTTACAGATGAAGACACTAAAGCCCGTGGAAGTTTGCTCACCTATGTAGCTTTTTAAAAAGGTTTGCAGTATGTAGGTTTCCTGAATAACTTGTATGAAAATGTTCTTGTTCCCATCATTGGCTTAAAATTATACTGATAAAACTATTTTTTTGAAGAAATTGGGGGGGAAAAAACAATGTTCACAGCATCTTCACCAGGACTGGATCCCATCTCTTCTTTGCTCATCTTTAAGAAGCAACTCCTCCTCCGTTAAGTTTTGATCCTGAGGGTGGTGCCTGTGGCCCAAGGAGTAGGGCACCGGCCCCATATACTGGAGGTGACGGGTTCAAACCCAGACCCGGCCAAAAAAAAAAAAAAAAAAGTTTTGATCGTGAAGTTGCAGCAATTCAGTCTCCACTTCCAACTCTAGTTCCCTTGCTTTGTCCACCACATCTGCAGTTCTTTCCTCCCCTGAAGTCTTGAACCCCTCAAAGGCATCCATGAGAGTTAGAATCAAACTTCTTCCAAACTCCTGTTAATGTGGCTATTTTGACCTCATCCCATAAACCACAAATATTCTTAATGGCATCTAAAAGGGTGAATCCTTTCCAGAAGGTTTTCAATGTCCTTTGCCCAGATCCATCATAGGAATCACTATCTATGGCACCTATCGCCTTATGAAATGTATCCCTTAAATAATAAAACTTGAAAGTTAAAATTACTACTTGATCCATGGACTGAAGAATGGACATTGTGTTAGCAGGTGTCAAAACAACACTCATCTCCTTGCATGTCTCCATCAGAGCTCTTGGTGGACTAGGTACATTGTCAATGAATATTTTGAAAGGAACCTATTTTTTCTGAGCAGTAGGTCTCAACAGTGGGCTTAAAACATTCAGTAAACCATGCTTTAAAGATGTGCTATCATCTGGGCTTTGATGTTCCATTTCTACAGCACAAGCAGAGTAGATTTAGCATAACTTTTTTTTCCTTGAGTCTCACTCTGTTGCCCAGGGTAGAGTGCTATGGCATCATCATAGCTCATAGCAACTTCAAATTCCTGGGCTCAAGCAATCCTCTTGCCTCAGCCTCCCAAATAGCTGGGAGTACATGCACCTACCACAATGCCCAGAATAGAAACAGGCTGGTCTCAAACTCCTGAGCTCAAGCAATCCACCTGCCTCCACCTCCCCAGAGTGCTGGGATTACTGGTGTGAGCCACTGTGCCAGGCCAAGATTTAGCATAATTCTTAAGTGCTAAGAAATTTCAGCAATTTTTGGAATGGTCAAATGAGCATTGGCTTCAGCACAAAGTCACCATCTGCATTAGTCTCCAACAAGAGAGTCAGGTTATCCTTTGAAGCCAGGCATTGCCTTCTCACTAGCTATGAAAGACCTAGGACAGCATCTTCTTCCAACAAAAAGCTATTTCCCCTACACTGAAAATCTGTTGTTTAGTGAAGCTACCTGCAGAATGATCTCAGCTAGATGTTCTGGACACTGCTGCAGCTTCTACACCAGCACCTGCTGCTTCACTTGGTACTTCAGGCAACGGAGATGGTTTCTTAAACACCATGGACCAACCTCTAACAGCTTTAAACTTCCTCCTGCAGCTTTCTTACCTCTCTCAGCCTTCACAGAACTGAGGAGAGTCAGGGCCTTTGGCTTAAGGCAATATTGTGGCTGTTTTGATCTGCTATCCAGACCACTGAAACTTCCTCCGTGTCACCCATAAGACTGTTATGCTTTCTTATCATTTGTGTGTTCACTGAAGTAGCACTTTTAATTTCCTTCTAGAACTTTTCCTTTGCATTCACATTTGGCTGTTTGGTCCACGAAGCCTATCTTTCAGCTTATCTCAGCTTTCAACATTTCCCTTCCCTAAGCTTAATCATTTCTAGCTTTTGATTTAAAGTGAGTGATTTGTGACTATTCCTTTCACTTGAACACTAGAGGCCTTTGTAGAGTTATTATTTGGCCTGAATTCATTATTGCTGTGTCTCAGAGAACAGAGAGGCCTGAGGAGAGGAAGAGAGATGAAAGAACGGCCAGTTGGTGGAACAGTCAGAACACACCACACTTACCTGCTGAGTCTGCCGTCTCCTGCTAGTGTACAGTTTGTGGCATCTCAGAACAATTATAATAGTAACATCAAAGGTCACTGATCATAGATCACTGTGACTGATACCATAATGATGGAAAAGTCTGAGATATTGAGAAGATTACCAACAGAATGCACAAAAACATGAAATGAACACATGTTCTTGGAGGGGAAATGGTGCCAATAGGCTTGCTTGACTCAGGAGTGCCACAAGCCTTCAACTTATAAAAAAATGCACTATCTGTGAAGTGCAATAAAATCTATTTTCAAAAGGGACAAACCAAGTTAACAAAGTACTATAGGGGACATATTCTACCCTCCTATCTTGATAAACATAACTTCCTGACAACAGAGAAAGCCAATTTCACATTTGGAATTCTTAGACTCCTTGAAGTTTTGTACCAGAAGATGATAATACCACTGAGCTGGCCCCCAGCTGGCAGCCCATCCCAGCTGCCCATAGTCCAAGGGACCTACCTATACACACATACAGGGGCACCCCACACACACTCCATCCACAGCCCAGCAACCGCTGTCCCTGGGATCTAGGGACATGCTATCCATGGTGTGGCCCACCCTCACCAGCACAGATCCAGGAACAAGGCCCACTCAGGCCCTCAGCAGCCTCTGGTAGGAATTCTCGGGGGGTCCCACTACTCTCAGCCTGTTTAGGAGTAGAATGGCCCCAGGTGGCCACATCCCTGGGGCCTGTGGAGAGGGACATGGCTGAAAGAGGGCAAGGGGGGTGCCCAGGGCAGGAGTCCCTCTTGTGCAGGAGGAAGGCAGAACTGTACTCAATGAGAGCCTGACAGGGACACTGGTGTGGCTAAAACACCGAGAGGAGGAGAATGGCTCAGAATCAGCACCTTCACATCTTCCTTCTCCACAGGCAAAGACAGAGAAGGGGCAGCACTGGCCCTTAGATCCTGCTGTCCCCTGGGGAAAGGGCTCTCCTCAGCTCCCTTGGCAAGACAACCCTGAATCCTGAGACAGCCTGCACTGGGAGAGGTGGAAGAAATCAATCAGAGCCTTCAGAACTAAAGCTCTAACACAGAGGGGGGTGGCAGCCTGCAGGTGTGGCCAGAGGACCAGCGTCCTGGGCCCTGGAACGCGCTCCATCACCTGAAAGTGAGCTCCCCAGGGCAGGAAGTCTCAAGCACTCTTTGCAGAAACTCAAGGCTCTTCAGAGTTTAACAGCCGACTAAGAGTTCAAAAATACAAAGAAATGACTAAACCCACTTGAGGAAAAAGCATGTTTTCATTCTGACTTGAGAGCAACAGAAGTCTCCTTGCCTTTCCTAACTTCATGTGCGTATCTGTTATAACAGAAGGGCACTGGCAACTCAATACTAAGGATTCAAACACACCTGCCCACCAAGTGAGGCAGGGCACAAAGTGGTCCTTGAGAGCTGCTCTCCCCACTCTCCCACCCATGCTGACCCAGAGTGTGGCGTTCAACATCACAGCCTTTTGATCCTCCTCTATGTGGGGAGCCGTCGTGGGCAGTGAGAGCTAAAAAGGAGCTGGGACGCGCAGCATGTTCAGAGCTTGCCTTATCCACTCGGTTCCTGCCTTCCCTGCAGTTGCCAGGCTCTCCCGCAGCTTCCAGTTCAAAAGACAAAGTGATGAACTATGAGCTTCAAATGAGAGAGCTAAGACACTCCAGGTCTGCCTGTAGCAGCTGGCAGCAGTCTCTGCATTCACCTCCTCTCTGAAGGTGTTGATTTGGTTCTGATTGTTTCTAAATCCAATTATTTCTCAGCTTGGCAAAGCTTCTTGGGAATCAAAGATGACGTCTCAGCTTGTGCTGAAGCAATGGGAGACTTCTCACAAGGAAGGAAAACCCCACGTGTGCATCCCTGGCCAAGACCTGCATCTCTCCCCGGCACCTCCCTCTCAGAATCACCTGAAATGCACAAGTGTTACCCATCACTGTTAACCAAATGCTTTTTATACAACACTAGGTGGCTTTACCTCGGTACATGGCCGGAGAAATCGGGCAACTGATGCCTAGAGCCTCATCCTCTGGGAATGTCTCACAGAAGTCCCGCAGCATAGCCATCCCCAGGCCTTGGCGACGGTGTTTCCTCCTGACAAACACGGTATCGAAGACAGGCAGCAGGTAGCATACACCAGTGCCATCGCCACACAGGCTGCCTGTGGAGGAAGCACGAAATGACGCTGTCCCCTGGGCTTGCTGCTAATCCATCAGGCCCCTGCAGGAGCCCTGCATGACCCCTGCATAGCCAGGGCCATGGTTGTACCTGCAAGCAAGGTTAGCATCACAAGCTAAGCAGCTGATGTTTTCAAAACACCAGCTCCCCAGATGACTGATCAGCTTTCTTTAAAATTTTATGTTATTGGCCAGACTAAGTGGCTCACACCTGTAATCCTAGCACTCTGGGAGGCTGAGGGCGGTGGATCACGTGAGCTCAGGAGTTGGAGACCAGCCTGAGCAAGAGCGAGCAAGACCCCACCTCTAAAAGTAGACAGGCATTGTGGTGGGCACTTGTAGTCCCAGCTAATTGGGAGACTGAGGCAAGAGGATCAGGCAAAAGGATCACTTGAGCCCAAGAATTTGTGGTTGCTATGGGTTATGATGCCATGAGCAACAAAGTGAAACTCTATCTCAAAAAAAAAAAAAAATCTCATTTTATTAATTGCTACAAGGGCAACCACCACATTACCGGACTTAAATGAGAAGTGAGCCAGAGAGGCTAAGCAAGGCAAGGCCACTCATGCACCCAACATCCTCAGAGCAGAAGCAGTGTCTGGGCAACATCAAAGGTCTCCCAGCAGGAGTGAAGCCTGAAGTCAGGAGATGTGGGCTGGGAGACCAGCCTGACCCACCATCTCTAGGGTACGAGCTTGTTCCAGTAAATCTCACAAGGGCTTACCCTTGTAAGCCAATTACGGTGCCATGTTCTGGTGCCCATGAACTACTGATGACTTAGCTGCAGCAGCACAGGAGAGGCAACAGTTGTCAACCTCCCAACTTCACCCTGAACTTCACTACAACCAAGATCAATACCAGCACAACCGGCCTTTCTGCAGTGAGAACCTGGCCCTGCAGCCAGTCACCTCTGTCATTGCCCTAACCAGAAAGTCAATTCTAACTGGAGCCTACTACCTCACCTTCCACTGAATAGGTGCCATGCCCTGGATGCAATGGAAAAGGAAAATGAATACACAGCATATTCAGCTCCTGATGGAAGAGGTGGCATTAATATTTGTCCCTGCCAAGATTCAGACAGTGGTTAATTTTCAAAAAAAAAAAAAAATGACTCAGATTCTAATGAGCCAGACTGAATTGCAAAGAAACACACTATCACAGAGATGTATTGCACAAATGGCCACAAGTATTCCCCTCCTGTATCCACAACCCTTTGCATCTGATCCTGAAGCTCCTCCCATCAAGAGACGAGATCCATTTCCCCTCATCCTTAATCCAGGCTGACCTTGCATGCATGCTGAGTAACAGAATGAGGCAGAGTGACAGTGTGACAATTCTAAGCCTGTGCCTCATGGAATCCAGGTCTATTCTCTTTCAGATCCCAGTGATCTAAACAAGCCTCAGCTAGCCTGCTAAGGGAATGTGACCCACCCACTCTGTAGTCCCAGCCCCAGGAAGCAGAGCCACCTACCTGACAGATAGACCACCAGGGGCACAGAGTAAGTCCAGCTAAACTAAAAATACACCCAGATAAGCCCAGCCAAAACTGCCAACCAAAAGCATTATAAATAGTTATTACTTTATGCCAAAAATGAACTAAAAAAATAACCTATGGTCAATACGGAGCCTCAATTCACTTGAGACAATAATCATAAAATATTTTGGACTTCTACCTCAATGTGTTTGAGATGTTAGTATAATTTATTTGGAATTATATTACTTCAATTTACAGAAGATAAGAACAATGTTCTCCTAGTGGTGAAAATTTAACAAAATTATGAAGGTTTAAAATTCAATAGCTATGCAATTCTATTCACACTAGCATTAAAAAGAAGTAAATACTTAAGAATATATTTGACAAAAGAACTGTAAACCTTGAACACTGAAAACCATACATTGTTGAGGAGAAATAAGGAAGAGCCAAACAAATAAAAAGAAATTCCATGTTCATAGATTGGATGACTCAATACTATTCTTAAGATGGCAATTTTTCCCAAATTGATGTTGAAGTTACATGTCAGCCCGATCAAAATCCCAGCAGGCTTTTTTATTTTTTTGAGACAGAGTCTCAAGCTGTCACATTGGTAATGTGCTGTAGCGTCACAGCTCACAGCAACCTTAAACTCTTTGGCTTAAGCAATTCTCTTGCCTCAGCCTCCCGAGTAGCTAGGACTACAGGCACCAACCACAACGCCCAGCTATTTTTTTGTTGTTGTTGCAGTTGTCATTGTTGTTTTAGCTGGCCCGGGCTGGGTTTGAACTCGATAACCTTGTTGTACGACATGGCTGGAACCCTACCCGCTGAGCTATGAGTGCCACAAGGCATTTTTTTTTTTTAGAAATAGATAAGCTGATACTAAAATTCATATGAAATGCAAAGTCTAAATTTAACCAAAGTTTTGAAAAAGAAGAGCAAAGTTGAAGTCTCATGCTATCCAATTTCAGAGCCTATTATAAAGTCCAGGTAAGGAAGACAGTGTGATACCAGCACAAAGACAGGCATGCAGATCAAAGGAGCAGAACTGGGAGTCCAGGAGTAAACTCTTCTATTTCATCACAGGTACCAAAGCAATTCAATGGGGAAAGCATGGTCTTTTTTTTTTTTTTTTGTAGAGATAGTCTCACTTTATCACCCTTGGTAGAGTGCTGTGGGGTCACAGCTCACAGCAACCTCCAACTCTTGGGCTTAGGCGATTCTCTTGCCTCAGCCTCTCGAGTAGCTGGGACCACAGGTGCCTGCCACAACACCTGGCAATTTTTTGGTTGCAGTTTGGCCGGACTGGGTTTGAACCCACCACTCTTAGTATATGGGGCCGGCTCTTTACTCACTGAGCCACAGGCACCACCCGAAAGTATGGTGTTTTTAATAAATGGTACTGGGAAGATGAACATCCATATTCAACACCAAGTACTAGCAAAGACACAGCTACAAAACCTCTAACCTTCTGCTGGTGACACTATAAAATATAATTATGTTGGAAAACATCTGAACATAACCAATATCTACAAATGCTAAACTTGTGACAAACTAAAAATTCCACTACTAATTATACAACCTAGATCAGTGCTCCTTAAACTTTTTCTCATTGTGGTCAATGTAAGGATCCCTTTCCTAAGCACCATCCCCCAAAATTGAATACAAAGGAAGGAGACTGTACTGAGTAGTGTTGAACTTTGAAGATGCACCACTGTATCTAAGTTTTTTGCTCCCCAAGAATCAATGTTTGTCCCATTGGGAGGAATACCACCTCACTGAGAATGTGTGAGCCTTAGGTTAGTGGTTCTCAATCTTTGGAGTCGGTGAGAATCAGCTAGAGGGCTTGATTGCTGAGCCCTACTCTACAATGTCTGAGTGAGTGGGCCTAGGGTAGGATTTAAGAATTCCTAGCCTCTAAAACACATGAGCAGCGCAAAACTGTAACTGAGGGGGGCAGACTCTAAAAGTTAGATCTGTGTAGCAATGAAGGACTGCCTGGTCGTCTTGACTAAAAGCATTCCAAGCCCGGGTTGAGACGTTATAAACAGGATCCCTCCATGGATTATCATAGGGCATCTAAAGAGATCAGGCTAGACCAGTGATTTTCAACCAGTGTGCCATGAGAGGATCTCTTAAGAATGTCACAAAAGGCTC